AAGGAGAGTGTTTCAGGCGTATTGATTAACTAGGTCCCGAGCAAGAGTGTGTACATATGAGAATAGCAGGGTAGCAGGTAGAATTGATGATTTGTATTCATGCTGATATTATGTTGTCAATTATTATCTGAAATATATCGCATAGTATTCCCACGGTGAGCTTGTTGTTTGCTCACCCCCATTATTTCTATCTTTTTCAGGTTGAGCTGGTGGTCGTGGCAATGGATGGACGAGAGTGGTCATTTGTTATTTTGTATTGTTATGAACTGCTTCCGCTTGAAATTGTTTCAAAACCTTATGTGTTTGGATATTTTTGGAAACTTTGAACTGACGACTTATGTTGTGGATTATTATGAATGAATGAATGAATTGGATAGCGTCCGTTAAAATGTTTTAAGTCGAATAATGATTTTCGAATAATTAACTCTGACTTTTGAAAAATTTAAGTTTTTTATTTAAAGATAACGGGGCGTTACACAAACAGTCATAAATCACTTGCGAATCGGAGCGTAATGGGTAGGGTTGCACACGAGTGGAGCAGCTCGCGAGCCGCTCGCGAGCGCTCGAGTTTGACTGAACTCGAGTCGAGCTCGAGCTGCTCGAGCACGAACTCGAGTCGAGCACGAGCCCATATTTTACATTGTCGAGCGGCTCGCGATCGGCTCGAGATATATGATAAATTACTAAAATACCCCTTCTATATATATAATTTGACAAAATCGTTTGAAAATCTTCGAACCGAACTCGAGCATTTTGAATTCGAGTCGAGCTCGAGCTATTGTATTTTCTTATCGAGTCGAGCTCGAGCCTAAAAAATCGAGCTCGACGAGCTCGAGCAGCTAAAAAAAAAATCAATCCTGCTCGATAAGGCCAATGCTCGACTCGGCTCGGCCCGTTTGCAGCCATGGGACTGTTTATATTGAAAATATAAATGAACAAAAAAGGACTAGTAATTCATGGAACGTTTTTTATTCCATTTAAATCAGAAAATAACCATTGATCTTTTAGTTTGATCCGAATTGGTAAAAAAATTAAACTGGTATGGTTTTGAAGATCGAGCACTCTATGCTATATCACCCACGAAACTCTTAACCGAATCAAAATATAAAGATCTCTAAACCGAACTGTCACAATTTTCAGTACAGTTACGGAGATTGGATTTTGATGATCTCTAAATATCCAAACCGAACTGTCTAAAGTGCATATGTTCAATCTCAATTTACAGGAAATACAATACAGTACCAGTATCTCAATTTTAATCGTGCAGACTGAACGAATTGCCCAAAAAATACAACCATACATTACAGTACATAAATCGCACCTGGAAGATCAAAGACACGACAGAAAACACAACCGACCCAAAGAGGGGACTCTATACTATAAACACAAAAAACCACATCATATCTCTAACCCCAGCCATTCTCTTTCACAACACCACACAAACCCCAACCAACGTACTCCTCCTCCCTTTGGCTGCCGCCAAGCAGAAAAAAAATCACCAAAATTATTATCTCATCATCCAATTCCAATACGCACTCAGTCTCAGGTAAAATCGATCATGGGCAGCTCATCACGAACAACTTTCTGTTGGCCATTGGCATGCTGGGCCCCTCCATCCTCCTCAACCGGACCATTTCCCGACGTGGGCCCCTCACCATCAGCCTCATCAACACTCTTTTCCTGATTTTTTTCCAAAGTATTATCATCCGACTCAGTCTCGGCCACAACAGCAGAATCCGGCGGCTGGGTTTCAGAGGGAGCAACAGCCGCCACATCCTCCTGCTCGGCTGGCTCGGAGGCAGGTTCGGTTTGTGGAGCGGCCTCCAGCTGCAAAGGTTTAGTAGGTTGGGGGCTTGGGAGGGCAGGGTTGGTGGGGCCAGAGCCAGACTTTTTGGGACGGAGCTGGCCTGGGTTGGGTCCATACAGAGATGCCATCCCGGGAGGGAGGATCTCGATTGGGGGTTTCTTGGCGGCATCTTGGAGGCTTGTGATGTTGGACTCCTCGAGGGAGGCCAGGAAAGCAGCTGCAGCGTCGACTTTGGTGGATGGGGTGTTGTCCATCTCCTTCTGTAGTGTCTTGTTCCAGGCCTGGACAAGGCTTCTCAATGTGGGCCTGCCATGGGCCTGAAAGAGAGAGAGAGAATAACCTTGATGTCTAAGTCTAACTACAGAAAAACCAGAGTATCTATCGAATTAGAAAACACGTTTGTTTCTAATTTACAAAAAATGCACGGCTGGACGGTGCTTTTAAGAAAATGCGAAACTTAAGAATGCGTTTAGCAAAAGATGGCTGGTTTTTATTTTGTAACGAGGTTAATTGTTGGGAATTTTTTTTTTTTTTTTTGTAGTTAAGAATGCAAATTAATATTGCTATGGGAAAATGAAATCGTACGTGAGCATGAAGAACAGCCTCTGCAAGCATCCCCGTATCTTGCCAAGCTTTCTCCATGAGTACGTTGTCACCCAAAAGAGCAGCTGAAAAAGCAGCTTCTCTTCCTGATCCGACTGATATCAAACTATTCACCAAATTCTGCATGTCCAAAAAGTAAAGAATTGTTAATTAACGCACATAGAATATGACACAGAGAGCAATCTGTAAGACTAGAACAAGTAGAATCATCAAAACACACTTCAAAGGTGTGGAACATTATTGTAAGAATGCACAAGTATATATACATATATAAGGAAAGTCACAGTTTCAACAATTAAGACATACCAAGTGAAGGCAGCTAATAGCACTAACAGGATTTAACACGAGAAGGTAGAACGTTTGATTGAAGGAAATCAGTAAACTAAGTAAGAGCATATATTCCGGTCATACTTTGTATTAATTCACACTGCTGTGAAATAGTCTATTTTCCTACAGTTCAGGCAAACTTGCAATGATGGTAATATAAAGAAGTGCTTATATTGGTGCCCAAATTTTACAATTTGGAAAATAAACAAAATAATAAAAACTACCATTCAGAAAGTTAACTGATAGCATCCTTTTCCAGCTGGAATTACAAATCAAGATGGAGAATCGTGTGTTCATGTAACAGATTATGGCAAAATCAAGCAATTTCAAACAAATTCACGAGTTTATTTTATTTTCTTTTGCTTTTTAACTGGCACGATTTGCTGGATCTATTTCGCCAACCTCTATAACTACAAGACTACAATATGGAGTTTAAGGTCAAGCAGAGAAATTTGCTTCAAGATCCATGGGGTTTTACATTTTTCCATGTGAAGAATGTAGGTGGTAGCCTAATGAATCAACAGGTTAGAACACAGATACATACACTGAGCCGAGTCAATTCTCCGTGATTTGCAAGGCGCAGAGCCAGGCCTCTCAAATGATGGCCCTGCAGAGCTCCTTTCACAGAACCCGCAGCAGCCAACCTCTTAAGCGCTTCCCGAGCAATGTCAGCCTGCGCAGTAGCATCAGCGGCATCAATAAGTTCGAGGAATTCCTTAGCAAACTTAACCACTCCCTGAACAGCCTCCACAACATCTTCCTTCTTCGAGGACAAATTCATAATGTCATTCAAATTCAACCCCAGAGCTTCCTGCCCAATATCCCTGCTGTTGCTCATTGTGAGCAGACACTGAAGAGCCCGTCTCAAATCACTGCTCTGCATTGCCAGATCAAATTCCAGTCGCTTGGATATACCAGGCAGATGAAGCGCCTCAGTGGCGTAACCCATCCCGAGCATAAACTGAGCTAAATCATCGTGATGTTCTCTGCCGAGCCTGCTCGCCCATTTTACCGCACTAACGGCATCTCCATATGCTGCAAGACACCGGCAACGGATTCCAGGATGACTAAGTGAAATTGCATGCGCAGACATGTACCTGTCAACCAGCCACAGAACGCCATCCCTCACGCCTGCAATAACAAGGGGTCCTAACGGTCGTTTTTGTTCAGACGGAAATCTAGTAACGGCAACTGCAACTCCTCCACCCCCAACGGCAACTTCATTATATTTCCTTTCTTCCATCTCTTTTGGTATTGGAGAATCATTACCGTCGGCTTTAGATTGTTTAGGCAATGTAAGGAATGGAGGTATGGAGGGGGAATGCTGAAAAGCGGCTAACCTCACCACCTGCAACAGAGGAGGTCTCAAAGTGACCCTCTCTTGCGAGGCTTTTTGTTGACTATCAACTGTTATTAATGCCAATTCACCATGTTCCGCGATGGCTCTCGACTGTGCCTCCTGAAGCTTCATCTCCTCCTTCCTTCTTTTGGTTTCTATGTCAATAGGTGCAATGCCAGCATCCACAAAGACACACTCAATGGTAGTCGGGGTAGCCACAAACAGTTGCCTCCTATGCCAAACACCTCCGGTCGCATGAGGGATCGCCACATCCCCAAGGTACCGAAACTGAGGGCGCAATGTGGATATGACAATATATTGCTGGTAGGCGAAAGCGCAATATTCAACAGTTTGGTCCCACGCAGTCCATTCTGGTTGAGGAAGAAGACCTCCAACTGGTTCAAAAGATTCCCAGCTGAATAACTGAAAGTTCGGAGGTGCCGCCTCCGAAGAAGATTTCTGTGAGGAATATGCATCGTCCAAGGCACTGAAAGAAGGATTGGTAGCACTTCCGAATCCCGACAAGGGCATGGATTGAATTGTTGAAATGGCTGTGGCGGCAACAGGACTTATCCTTCGAGATGTCCGATAAGCGACACCAAGTAGTGCTCCTCCATGCAAACCGATCACTGGTTCGCTGCGGCTACCGACTGACCTCATCAATATGTTTGATGTTCCATCGTCCAGCAATATGCGTACCTGAACACTGGCGGAGGAAGCGGCTGAAGCTGCGGCCGCAGCAGCTTGAGCGGCTGCTGCTGCAGCTTCTTTAGCTTTCCTGGAGGAGCTGCCTTTAGGGATTATTGGCATTCTGGGCGGCAATGCGGACTCCAGCAGCGCAAACCGGTCCCTGCAGGTGTCCCAAGCCAAGAGCCTCGCACTACCCGAATCGACAATCGACCAATCACTGACCTTATAAATGGAGAAATAGGGAATATCAGGCCACACAATGGCAAGGANAAAAAACGGAAGATGTTAAAATCAGTGCATTTAACCAATGTGTATGCCTTTATGTAAGAGAGAACAAAAGACGGTCAACAAAGTTCATAATATCCAATAATATGATAACCGAATCCTATAACATTTAAATTCTATTGGGAGATTCCTTGCACAAAGAGAATAATCACATTATCAAGTGATGTAAAGCAGAAGACACTTACTTTCCTGAACTGCTCAGAGAGAGAACTGAGTATGAATCGTGTGGAACAGGAGTGCTGATATGGCTTTTGACTTGCTTCACATGAAGTTGTTCTGGTGTGTCTCCCCTGACTCTTCCCACTTCATTTAAGGAGCCATTGCTGCCAAGAGCTGGATTTGCAGTGTTAGACAATTGAAATTGCAACAGTTTCAGTTCCCTTTCAACAACATAAACAGCAGCATGTTCTCGGCTTCCCGGAGCTGTTGGTAATGGAGCAACAGGTGGAAGTGATTTCGGATCAAATTCACAGATGAGGACACCCATGTTGGTTCCAGTTGCCACAAGATGGGGTTGTAAAGGATGTGCAACCATAGAATACACCTATTAAAGGGAAATAGGAGCACAGTAAAAATCAATATCTTAAAGTCAACTAGTAGATGACCAAAATCAACATAACAGATTTTATTAATATCATACCCTAAGCTTCTTGTGAGATGCAAGCAACTGAGGTGGGACTAATGATGACAGTTCACATAATGGCCTTGTCAGGGCTGAATAAGTAGGATGCTCAATAGCCCTGCCAAAGATATCATGAATCAAAATTCCTATCAGAATGACGGATGATGTCTTCTGGACTTCAAGTATCACCAATTGTTGTTGATTTACAAAAATCACATAACTCAATTTAGTTAGACAAACTAAACATCGACATATATAACTTGAACTACCATATATGAGAATCTTTAACGCAGGTCAGAATATCGAGATTTGGAGCTCGAGGATGGCACCAAGATGCCACACTGTGGCAAGCCAATTTTGAGACAGGCTTTATCCTGCGCAATTCCTACAAGTAGCAAAAAGGAAGTATTAGGATAATAAGGAAGATATCATACATTGATTTTCTTATCTTAACAAATACAGCAAATTATGAGAACCTTGAATGACATTGTGTCCCAGATAGCTAAAGTCTTGTCTGCACCAATTGTAATGAGTTGTGGTGCAGCACCAACAACACGAGAAAGCTCAATCGCAACAACCCCACCATCATGTGCCTGATATTATGAGAAAATTAAAGGCCATTTAGAGAATCATCAAAACAGCAAAAACTTAAGCTGGATGTGTCTGTCTATATTAATAGAGGACTCCAAAATAAAATAATTAGAGAACTGAAACAATCAGGTAAATAGAAGACTGATGGAATATGTCAAATTACTTTTAAGCTCAGCTTGGGAACAAGTTCTCGGGTATCTTGACCATAATCTGCATTCCAAAGAACAAGCAAGCCATCGCTACCACCAGAAACCAGAAGGGCCTGATTCATGTGCACATCAATAAAAGTGAGAATAACGAAAAACAGAACACAATAGACATAAAGACCAAGACAAATGTGGAAGCAGATAAAGGCATGGAAATTGGACTCGATGCATTTGCCTGAACGTTATAATGTATTCTTTTGAAGAAAAGCAAATGAAAAGAAATATAACTATGCTAGTTAAAAACTCAGAAGTCAGAAACTACCTCCCCAGAGGAGGCCATGAAAGTCATCAAACAAGAAATTGATCCCTTGTGACCTCCAGTATACCTTCTAGCAAGCTGTGGCCAAAATAAACATATGCAATGTTTGTTCATATTGCAGGTATAACTTAGTGAGTAAAACTGAAAACAATATAAAAAAGACCTTCCAAGTTAGCATGGAAAGAACTCTAATCACACCATCTGATCCACCAAATGCCACAAGAGGTCCATCACTACCAGAGGATCTACACAGGAATTCCATGCTGCATGAAAATACTTAAGTTATTCAGGATACATAATCCTTATTTGATAGGCAAACCAGATTTCAGAATATTTAGATTACTGAAACATAAGAGCAGTAGCAGACAAACAAAAATTTCAGTGCAGTGGTTGGGTGAGGACCTGGTCAACAAGAAACTTCCTAATTCCAAAAGACAGGGAAAGCAATTTCAGAAAAGTTGTTCTACCCTGGTGCAGTGCTACTATTTATTCGCTCAACAGAAAGAATGCACTAGATTTCATTAATTAAAACTACTGTCAGACCCGCCAAACATATGACTTTTGGATGTGATAACAGAAGGTTTACAAAATTAATCAAATCATATTCTTCTCGCAATTAAAGTTCAGACATGATGGGCATGACAAAAAGACAGGGTTCCACCAAAACAGCAATTAATTATTCATGTCAATTGCAAATGCAGCCATGCTGTAACCCAAGGTCATGACATCAGGGTCTTTATAGTAAGGGATTGTTTTCCAGGCATGAAATTCGACAGATCAGCTTGATCGTGTTACACAAGTTTACTTGCAATTTGTACGTTAGTTAGAATGATATTTAAACTTTTCCAAAACCGAATAACTAAACTCCAATTCTGGGATACAACTAAACCTTTTGACATAACATATGGCTTATTCAGCAACCAACACTCGGGTTTTAAAAAAAATTTCTATAAGCAAGTGCAAGATTACACATTTCACCATGTATACTTCAAGGGAGCTCAAGGAAGAAATAAGCAATACTACAATTTCCTCAGAAAATGACTAGATTCAACACTTGCCATAATAGAGATCTGTTGTCCAAGTCCTGTTTTGGTACATCTCGGCCACGCATTGTGACCAAATCTAGAAAAATTGCTTTGTTCTCACAACATATGACAAGAAAATGGCGTCCTTTTGTTGAGGGGGGAGGGGAACTGAAAGCTGAAGTTAAATTATTGGCTGCTGTTGGAGCTTCAGCAGCAGCAGATCGATTCCGCCAAAGCTGCCAGTAGCGTACATCATCATCATAAAAGCTAACCTGTTTAACACTAGAAACCATGTGCCACATTTTCAGACTCACATTTATAAACATTGCAGAACTATATGAATTAAGGGTAACGAAAGGTATCTAGAGATAAGAATGGAAACATACCTTCCACCTCGTATAGCTTCTGTGGGTTTTCCTCGTGATTCTAAGATGCATAAAAGGATGAAACCCACTAATCGTTAGTACTTAATCTACACCAGAAATATCGGTCCACATAATATTTACAGCAATTAACTAATTGCCTCAATTAAGGATTTATCCTCCATAGAAGAGCTAAGTGAAAAGGCTCCTTCAGATTCTATAAGAAAACAACAAAAAAACTCAAAACATGATTTCTGCAGGAGTAATGGCTAATGACTGAACCTTATAAAACGATACATATTAGCAAAGACTTGCCACGCAATAAAGACTTCTTCAATTTTTGTCCATCCTATAGTAAAGCGCAAAATAAATAGATGGGCATTGCAACTGATTTAACTTTTTATTTCCCTAATTAAAGACATTATAAGCCACGTGTTCAAAGTAAATAAATAAATACCGCATCCATCGATTTGCATCAACTCCAAGAAAGGGGGAAAATGGATTTATACTGTACATTGAAAAACAACCACTTCTTCTAGGCTAGGTCGGCAACAAAAAGCTCATCATCACTAAAACAGATTATATCACCCTGGTAACCAGGGGTGCAAACTCTTCAAAAGAACAAATATACAGTCACAGTTCAAACTGATTATTGATACTCCATACCATTCTCAACCTAAATGAGCTACCAATTTCCTGAATTATCAATAAATCTTGTCAAGTTCTACATATCGAGAAGCTTCCAAATTCAAATACCTCAACTTCCTGACCACAGTTACACAACACGCAACAACACATATAAAATGAATATGTCACGAACAATACCTGTTTCGCCCTCGGCCAGCTTCTCCAACTTGGCTCCAACCAAACGCCTCTCATCCACACCCCCAGCTTTCAACTCGTAAATCACCTAGAAGAAATGCCCAAATCAACTCAAAATTACAACCATTTCACAACACAAATCAAGCTTGCGCACGCAAATGATTGAAGAGAGAAAAACGCAATATAGACCACTACCTGGCGATGTTCCCAATTCCAAACAGAGACGTGATCGGAGGCATCTGAAGTGACAAGCCATGGGTGCGTCGGGTGCAACTGAATCTTCACGATCTTATCGTTCGTCTGGCGAAAGGCACGCAACCGCAGCATTGTGCTCAAATTCCTTGCGGCTAAAATATGAATCTGATATGGATGGTAAAGGGTTCAGATCTTCTTCACTGTTGAACGGGCTCAGATGAGGATTGAATCGGAACTGCGATTCAGATCGGCCCGATCTCTCGACATGACTTCGACGGTGAACCTTTTGGCGAATTACAGCAGAAAATTCCGTTTTGATACCAGTGAAATTAAATATTTGGGTTACATGTATTTTTCAATAAATATGTAATATATATTTTATTTTTCTCATTTACTATTCCACCCCTCTATTACTACGCCCCTTTTACTTTTTTCTCCTTAAACCTTTTTTTCACTCCATCTCTCTAAATTACCGAACTTTCAACGAGCGATTCGAGCACAGAAAGAAATCCGAAAAAATGTCAAAAAAATCCTACGGCCTCGGCAAAGCATTCTTCTCTACCAAGGTAATTTTTTTTTTTACTCGGCCAATATTTTTAAAATATTATAATAATAAGTTGAATAAATTGTAATTAATTTTAAATTATAAAATAATAATAATTATAATAATAATAATAATAATTGTAATTATTAATAATAATTTGTAATAATACATTTGAATTAATTATAATAATTATAATATTAATTATAAATTAGAATTATTTATAATAATAATTATAATTAATAACAATGATAATAATTATAATTAATTATAATAATAATTATAATAATAAAAATAATTATAATTTCTGATAATTTTAATTATAAAAATTAATTAATTATAATTAATTATAATTTCTTATAATTTTAATAAATTAGAATTAATTATAAAAATTATAATTTTATAATAATAATTATTAAAATAAAAATGAATTATTAGAATAATTATAATCTGTTTTAATAGTTATTATTACAATAATAATTACATATGGAAGAAAAATTTAATTTAATAATTATATTTTTGATTCAGGGTGTTAGCAGGCCTGAACAATCTAATGCCAGGGACGACGACGAGGCGTTCGATGACTATTATGATGGTTCTGGCACCCGACACACTAGAAGCGAAGTGTCAATGCGTCTGTTCGTCGGGACAGACAGACGATGATCGATGAGGCTCGGAGGCTACAGCTTCTTCAGTCCATGCAGAGTTCGAGACCCCCCGCACTAGTACGAGATGGTCCGCAGGGATATTATTTTGAGGGCCAGTCAGACAGTTCGTGACTCCCCGGAGTCGTACCATACGGTGAGCATAGATTTTATTATCCTGGCCAGGCAGGCAGTTCAATGCCCCCGGCACCAGGACCGTACGATCAGCGGGGATATTCTTTTCCCCGTCACGCAGGGAAGTCGATACCCCGCGCACGCGCACCATTACCTTATGGTCAGCAGGGATATCCTGATGAGTCGTACGGCGAGAGGGAGCAGGGTTCAGAGGAGTCTGACTAGGACGACTCTTCACATGAGCAGGATCACCCGCACCACCCCAGAGGGAGCTCCCACCACAGCATTTTGCCCGACCCACACATCCTACGGGTCCTAGGCAGCATGTCCCTCCTGTACAGCCTGTTCGTCCTGTACAGGGTGTTCGTCCTACACGGGCTGCTCCTCAACGACAGGCTGGGGGGCATTTCGGCAGCGGTGCATCCTCATCAGGTAAATAATTTACGTATTTATTGTTGTTTAACATAAAATATTTTGAGTTAATCATAACAAGTTATCGGTACTGTTAGAAAAGTATTATCGGCCTGCTCCTCAACTACGGTATAATTATTTTGTAATTTAGAGAAATCATACAATTAATTAGTTAGAAAATTATTATAATTATTTTTATTATTGTTATAATCAATTAGTAGTAATGTTACATAATAAATTAGTTTAAAATTGTCATTATATTTTATTAATGTAAAATGTGAAATATGTTTTATTAAATATATTTTATTTAATGCATCTGCCAGCAAGTCTATATATACAGATATGTTGTATTGTAGTGCAGGTACTAGCAAACGAGCTAGGACCGATGATGATGCACCCTGGATCGTTAAAGGCCCAGTGGCCGGTGGGCCCATTGATGGGAGTGTCATCCCTAGCTTTCTAGGGCACGTCGCCTCCCGCATTATGGAGAGTTTAGGGGGCTGCTGAAATACCACAATAGACTGAGAGCGGTCGAGAATCTGAGGGATTGACATGATGAGATGTCTTCCGATGCGAGAGCTCTGATCGAAAACACCGGGCTGTGACATCTGGTCGACTCCATGCACAGCCACTTGGACACTCCACTCCTTTTTGCGTTTGTGGAGCGATGGCAGCCGGATACTAACTCGTTTCACCTGCCTTTTGGTGAAATGAGCATCACGCTGCACGATGTCCGGGCCATTTTGGGCGTTCCTGTGGAGGGAGCCGTGGTCGCTGAGGACCCGGATTCAGACGCCTGCCAGGGGCTCTGCATGTCGATACTTTCGGTCACCAAGGCCGAACTCATGAGTTCGTTCTGGCAGCGTGGTTCGGTGACCGAAGCCTCCATTGTGGGGGTATTCAGGGGGGAAGGCCGACCGGCTAGGGATGAAGCGAGTGCCTGGATGTGGGTGATGTTGGGTACCACATTGTTCGTTGACAAGAGTGGTAGTAGAGTGACCCCCAAGCTTCTGCACGAGGTGCTCGACGGCTTGGATATGATTGGGGGTTACTCATGGGGATCGGCTACGCTGGCATACTTGTACAGACAGCTAGGTATTGCCAGCCGAGGGGACTTTGCCCAAATGTCGGGCTGCGGGGCTCTTCTGCAGTCCTGGATATATGAGTATTTCCCCGATTTTCGACCCCAGGGGCGTCTACCCATCGGTCCTGACTGTGTCGCACGATCTCGCTCGTGAAGAGTAGGGAATGCGCCAAGGTCAGACGATCGGCTCACAGCCATCCGTCAGCGCCTCGACAGACTCATTGCCTCCGATGTACGTTAAGTTATTTTATTTAAATTTACTTACCCGTTATTTAAAATAATATAATTATTTTTATAAATGTTTTTATGCAATTGTGAACAGGTGCAATGGTTGTCATACGGCAGCTCCAGCCTAGATGCGATAGAGCAGAGGACTCTTTATTGCGGATTGATTCGATACTGCGATATTGTCGAGCCATACTCGCCTGTGCGGTTTCTGCGTCAGTTGGGGTATGTCCAGACTGTCCCTCCCCCTACATACCCGCCAATCACTGCAGTACGTGCTTGGAAGTCTAGGAACTACAGGGTTGAGCATTCTGAGGCTGCTGCAGTAGGTGCCTGGACCCAGTTCCCGATGTCTGGGACGGTCAACACCAATATGTTGACCCCCACCACACATGATCGCGGGGAGGCGACTGAGGATTACTTGCAATGGTACGGTCGGGTTTTCCATCCGACTGTCATGGGCGAGGAGCTGCTAGACGAGAACGAGGTCCCTACGCGTGTCAATACCGCCTATGTAAGTTGTTTACTAAATTTTAATTAATGTTATTTCATTACAATAATTTTTTTAATAAATTTTAGTCTTATCTTTTTTTTCTTCCATTTTTTTAGTGGGTGGACCGTCTTTTGGGCATTACATCGCTTTGGCAGCGGGGATGCGAATGTCCGGTGATGGCGGAAGTCGAAGAAGAATTAGCTAAGTTTAAGTTGGATTACGACAATGCCCAATAATGATGTAATGAATGTTCTTTTTTTTTATTATTATTGTAAAACATTAAGTTGAATGTTTTTTTTTGTATTTATTATTTGTAAAACATTAATTTGAATGGTTTATATTAAAAATGAAAAAAAAAAGTACTATTTATGCGATTTTTGATTGCTCTGTAACATGATCGTATGTTCCTATGCTTCGAGACAGGCTCATTCTCCTGAGAGTCCCGATGGGTCGACTCAGTAGAACGAGCCTATCTCGAAGCGTGGGAACATACAATCATGTACAGAGCAATCGAAATCGCATAAATGGTACTTTTTTTTTGTCATTTTTAATATAAACCATTCAAATTAATTTTTTTTTATTTGCTAAACTTACGTTAAATGAGAAGCGTCATACCACAACTGAATAATATCGTTCTTTTGTTGAACCGAAAAATATTGTTCTTTTATTCAAAAAGGTCTATTTTGAACAGTAAACCACGATTGCAACCTAGCCTGGTACTGATCCTCCCAACCCACAACCGATGAATCTCGGTGAGTGAACCACATGGGATGAATAGGCGGTAATGGACAACCAGGAACTCCTGCTAATCAACTCCATCTCCTCCAAAATCTTCCCATGACTCCTGCTATATAGTACAATATTTATACTTTTAAAACATGTTAAATTATAATCTATTCATTCTAATGTATAAGATAATTAATTCGAACATGTAAATTAATAATTTGTAACTCGTAACACGATAGTATCTAACGTCCAATTTATAACAATACCCAGAGTCAAACATGTAACATAATAATTTGTAACTCGTAACACGATAATATCTAACGTCTAATTTATAGCATAATCAAGTCTAAAATGTAACATAATTATTTCGAATATATAACATAATAATTTATAAAAATATTCAAAAAAAAAATATAAATGTCCGGCCGGTCGGACCTGACGGACCGGTCCCGACCGGCCGTCGCCACCAGCCGGCTTTTAACACGTCCGGCCGGCCGGTTCGGACAGAGTCCGTCCGACCGGACGAACTTTTCGGACGACTTTTACGCCGTCCGAACCGGCCGGCCAGACGGTCTAAAAGCCATCCGGTTTTGCCGGCCGGACAAGAAATATTTTGTACCTCGGAATTTGAAGACATTTCACCATACACTTTGCTCTGAGATGTTTGGAAAAAATGAAAAGGGCAAAATCGTCCAAGGGGGCGGTGACTAGTAAAATGGGGGGCGGTGAATAATACTACCCTTATTTTTTTATAATGAGGTTTTGGCTATATTTGGTAGACCAATAAGCTAGCTTATATCTTATTTGGTTAGCTTATAAGCTCCCTGTTTTCAAATAAGCTTCGTTTGGTAGGACGATCTTTTTTAAAAAGCTCGAGCTTATTTGATAAGCTTCTTTGGATAGCTTTTCAAATAAGCTAGTTGAAATTTTTATTTCACCTAGCTTATCAGCTAATTTTACCAAACACTTTTATCATATAAGCTAGCTTTTCAGCTATAAGTCATAAGCTATAAGCTATAAGCTCAAAAATTACTGATAAGCTATAAGCTAGCTTATCAGCTAATTTTACC